GTTCTTCGCAATAAGTTTTTAGGGATTGTATTGATTAGGAAATAGATCGACTAATATTGGAATATGCATTACGGTAGTCGACAACGGACAACGGAGTCTTTGTCTCAAGAGATGATGTATGTATACCTAGTAAAAACATTTCCAGCTTAGTAAGTGTCTATATTATCAAGAATAAAGCGGTATGGCCGGTATTGAGACACCCATTATTTAATAATGATATTAATTGCTCTAGTTGTTTTCAGGGACGGCCAATTATGACGCACGATTTTCTAGGATTCAGACTAGGGAAATATGACTTGGCGACCGAAAGTCAGATGACCAATTTTAGGTTGTCGTTTCACTTTATGGCAGCTGTCTGTGGCCGCTGTAAACTACCCCAGAAAACACTTCTATCACTAACAATCTTCCATAGCCAGACAACTATATATGGCATGCAATGATTTTGCTATCATCATATTTCTTATCCTCCTTGAAATTTAAGGGTAGTGTACCCCGACCACAGAGGGTTGCCAGAAGTGACTTTATATTCAGTATCTATAGAAGATTTACTTTGTGAATTTTCATGAGCATACGATTAATTGACCTTTTTTGAAATTGTCGTGTACGACAATGACTTAATTTTGACGTAATTCGCCAACTGAAATGTCTTCTTCTCAAGATGCCTGAAATGACAGTCGCACGCTACATTTTCAAAACCAGATAGGTACTCTGAAAACAAAATCAACAAATATTTCGCTGTAAAACAAAAAAAAACTAATCCTGACCTGTTTCAGAGTTGGGAGAAATCTGAATCTCTAGCCGGGTTGCAGAAAAGGTTCGAATAAACACATGATTGGGAATGATGAGAATTTATTTCGAAACACATGAAATAAAAAATTAAAACAAAATTCCTGAAAGGAAGAAAAGCTTGTGTGGAGAAATCACCCCGCACGCAGGCGTTCAACAAATAAAATAAGAAAGTCTTAAAATTACATAGTTTTTTTTAATAATCCTAATAATCTGGTCGTTCAAACGTGAGCGTTCGATGTTCGCGTCTATCGTCGCAGTTCGGAGTGCGCGCTAATGAATTTTATATTTATAAACTTGTAGCGTCGAACGGCGAGCATTTTCGGTTAGGGTATTTTTAGTTTACAGTTTGTTAATGAAAGTGGTAAGAATTTTTGTGTGAAATATTTATGATGGATGAGTATGCATACAAAAGACTTTGACTTTGACACTAATTTGCGCGCCATTATTTTGCAAATTAGTACTATTTTTTTTTATTGGGCTAGAGAGCCTAGTTTTACGTTGATTCCAATAATTATCGAAACACCTCATCCACAATAACATAATCTCCTTCCGCAAGTTTTTTCAAAAACCGTCAATCATAATTGGACTTGGTAACGCCAGCTTCAAAAGAACGTGCCGAAACTAAGGGTTTTTTAACACCTGTCGCATCAACACGTGTTATAGAAATATCTATCGCGTTATTTTAAATAACCGAAAACAAGGTCTGTAGTCTCATTGTTGGGTTTTGGTTTTGAATTACACGCTAGAAATCGGTCGTATTAAGTTACTTATGCAACGTTGCAAATTAAGCGCACCTTGGAAAAAATAACCTGAGTTTACAGAATTCTGCAGTCCTGAAAGTTTCCGAACCAATGAAAATGATCGATTATTGATCTACCATTGAGTGGGTGACTTGGTTTTCAGACAGGGGATTATTTTGCACGAAATTAAGGGATTCTCGGCTAGGTGATTGTATCAGCTAATATATTACCACTTTCAAAAGAATTTTCCTGAAGAATAAAGCTATTGAGGGATGCAAGTAAAGTACTGTAGGTTACAACAAAAAGTAACACTTACCTCAAATTTAGCTACAGCTGTTGTACCTTCACAACGTTGTTGATGTTTTCTATACTTACAAAATGTGCGTTATCTAGCTATGTGCAATTGATAAAATTGAATTTACTAATCACTACTTTGTGAATTACCATTTTTCTTCAAGGACTAGGTTAAATCTCAAATTATTTCATTTCACATGTACAGGACGTTTATATAATTTTTGCACCACAGAAATTGTGGTTTTTTACTCCCAAAATATCAAATTTTTAGCTAAAAAATTAATTTCTTTTCGTGGTACAGTGATAAAACGTCCCGTAAATCGATTTAAAGAATATGGCCTCGGCAGATTCTAGAAAAAATGTAAAGTGCGTCATTCAGGTATTTATTTAGTAAATAAAGTTTCTCTCTCTTTTCTATCTATATAGCTATGATAATGGAGAAAAACTCCGGTGTACGGTACTAACGGACCATCTTGTTTATAAGTGAATCATTGGTTGAAACAATTTCGATAGGGTGTAGACTCGATTCAGGACGACATAAAATCGCGGGAAGATCGGTTGAGGCTGAGGAAACCATAGGACTTCTTGTAGAAGATTTACTGCCGAGTTATTGACGATTGAAAATTACTGTCTGATGGGTATGAAAAACCTGTATGCTCGATGGTTTTTCCCGAAACTTATGCCGGACCATACAACAGAAATGCATGCAGTGGGCTTCTTTCCCAAGAAAGGCAAAAACACAGTCTTTGTCTGGAAAATTAATGGCGATCAATTTTTGGGATTAGATACATAGCAAGTCTTGGATCACTGGACTGGATTGTGAGGGAAATGAACTAATGTGCCCAAGCAATATCAATGGGAAGAATTTAATTTATTCTGTGGGTACATTCAGTTAGTCGTCTCTGACATTTTTGTGCTAACAATAAATATTCACTACCAAAAATATTTCGTTTTATTCTTACCTTATTAGTCGCCTATTCACATCTCGCAAAAAGTCAATTGACCTGCAATTTTTTAACGTGCAAAGTGCAATTTTTTTTACTTATGCTCACTTGGAATTGGAAACCATTTTTTAGATATTCTTAAAGGAGAGAGTTACCATGAATCACTGCTAAAGTTAGACTTTTCTTGAGTCGACGCTTCTCATTAATGGACCTTAACAAATTTCAAATGCAAAAGTGCCTACCTTTTTATAGCAAAACCGCAACAATTAAACACGGTTTACCCATTCTCGCACAAGTAATATAATAAAAATGATTTTAATGCACCACATGCAATAAAAAAATCGTTTAGTCGCTTGTGAGCAAGAGGCGAAGAGTGCACATTCAAATTTGTTTTTGCGATTTTAAAAGCTCTTATGGACACATCATGACCCAAACATGAAATAATTTTTTATTTCTGATCGAATATGACACCAATACCAGGTCTGTAAGTGGTGTAGTTCCGGAACCTTTGTGACAGACAGACAGACGGACCGACAGACAGACATATAAGGAGCGTAAACTGCACTTTTTATTTTTTTGAAAGTGAGAGTGCACTTTACCTTTCTGCATTAATAAAC